AATTCCCCAGGCATAAGGTACTTGGGGTCATGCAGGATTTTCAGTATTTAGAATCCACTGCACTTTGCTCGAGGTCACCAAGGCCTTAGCGCGACTACTCATGTTGTTGTAGTATGTAGCATATTACCTGACTGCAGGGTCGTCCAGAGTAAGTACGCCTCAACTGCCGAAACTACGAAGTGCTTCCCCCGCTACGGGTGTTAGGTTTGAGGCGTTCATGGGTGTGGGCTTTAGGTATGGTGAGTCCTGAGAAAGAATTTCAGGGAGGTTTTATACCGTGCAGTTGTATGATGATCTCCTAAGGGCGGTACACTCAGCAAAGTGACATGGGCTACTGTCCTTATGCTGAGTGTCACACCCTACATACAACCCCCAGCCCGCAACAACGACAAACTAGGTGGCACTTTGCGGATCCCCTCTTGTGGTATAATCATGACAAACAGTTCTAGGAGGCCTTTGAACTACCATCTAGCCAAATTTAAGGATATGTTTGACCTTGGGGGTCGTAGGATGGGAGTACTACCCTGAACCCTAAACCCTAAACCCTAAACCCTAAGTGGGCTAACCCTGAAGGACTCCATGAAGTCATTCCCAGAGCTTTTCCCCTACGGAGCGCGGATTCAGCTTTCCCAGGAGCCAGGGGCTTTCACGTTTAAGGTTGAGGGTTTTGGGTTCAGGAACCCTAAGCCCTAAACCCTAAGCCCTAAGCCCTGAACCCTGAACCCTAAACCCTAAGCGTCTGCCTGCGCAGGGCTGAATATCCATGCGCCGATGCACTTCCAGGGATCTGCTAGCGGCAGCAAGTCCTGCGCCCAGCGAACCTCGTGGACATCGTCCCAGAATCCATCAAAACTGGGCTTTCTTTAAAAAGATACCCGCTGTGAGACATCACAGGCTACCACCCAAATTAGTTCCTATTAGGGCTTGGGGCCACGCCCGCAATTCCCACCTCAAGATCATTTTCTTGCTTCCGACTCCTGTCCTGAGTAACCTTGTCCTTTCACAGGCAGGCCCCAAGAGGCCTCCAAAGCCAGGGTTTAGGGTTTAAGTTTAGGGGCCTCAAGGAGCGGGTCATTTCGGGTGGGCTGTGCCAGGGCCTGCAGACCCCAGCCATGGGTGGGAACGGCCTAAGCAGGCCAGGTGAAAATGGGGCTCAGGGCTCAGGGTTTGTAGGATTTACATCCCGAAGAGGCCCCCCAGATGGGATGCGAAACTTAGATTCAGAATAAATATACGTAGCCTGCGAAATATTTTTTACTATGTAATATGCCTAAGATTAACTGACGCTCCTTGACGGCCACCCAAACTAAGAAGTTTGCGGATTCACTCAGCATTCCTTTCAAAGGGCCTGTTATATCTCTTGAATAACAAAGTTTACTCTATTCTAACCCGTGACAGAGAGGTTACCAAACCCCTGATTAAACCCTGGGTGCTTACAGTAGCCCAGAGAGCTCGATATCCTTTAATTGGGGAAGACACCTTGAATCAGATCATTTAGGGTACCTTCTCTGATTAAGGGATATGGGGGACCCAAACTTTAAACCTGAATGAGGGGAGATTGGGCTTTCTGCACGGGTTTGCGACATGGGCTTCGACGGGCATTGCAGTTTAGGGCTTTAGGGCTTAAGGTTGCGGAGTACTTGCCAGACCCTCCTTGTAACCTTGGATAGGGTATATGGGCCCTAGTAACCCTAGTAGCGTCTACTTCGGGTATATAGAGGGTACAGAGGGTTTAGGGTCCAGGGTGGGCACCATGGCGCTTAGTACAAGACCTATTTAGGGTGTCTAGGGTTTAAGGTTTAGGTTAGGTCAATCCTCCTAAAGTAATAGCTCCTCAATATGGAGTTAATTGCGCATTAATATACTTGCAATAGTCCCTTGCGATGCCCATTACTGGTGGGCGATTGACCCAAGATTTAGGGTTTAGGGTTTCGGGTTCAAGTTTGCCCTCCGCCTGCGCCGCTACGGAGACAGTTTGAAGGAGGCTGCAGAAGTGCCAAGTTCCGCTTCTGTGACAATTACTCCTATGCAGTCGCAAGCTGCCGACTGCTTGCTGACGCGCGATCTCCTGCGCATGGTTGTTCCTTCAAGAATGGACTTAGTATCCTGAAAGGCACAGTGCCTGCAAGGGTAGATTTGTTCCTTCGGGTTTACAGGGAGAACCTTACGCAAGCATTTCCGACGCAGAACTCAGCAACTAGGTTCCTACGTCGTCAGATGCCTCGTGCGGCACTGTGTGCATCATTTCAGATGACTCGGACTTTGGGAAGGTGATCCTGAATGCCCACCAGTGTGGATGGAAGGTGCCGCAGATTTGGGAATACTTGCCGGTTGGGAGAGAATGGAATAGAGATTTCCTCCATTCACAAAAGTTCTGCGCATTCAAAAACATTCATTTATTGTAGCTCTTGGTGGGCTTTAGTGAAGCCTTGACCAGCACAAAACGCCAAACGCTTTACTCAACGCGTTCAGTATTACTCAGGACCTGGGGACCCTGCACAGCAATTATTGGAGGTAGATAGCAACAAACTAGTCTGGTGTCGGACATCACGTGACACATCCTGACTGAACTACCAGTTTTTGCGTTGAAACCACAACTTTCACAACTGTAGGCAAACCAGAAAATCGCCATTAGTATTGGAATGAGGTTGCTGTGGCAAGTCGGCCTAACAGCTGGACATTGCGGTCGCGAAGCGATGTCTGGATCGACTGGGCAGAGCTGGCTGAAAAAATGGCCAGCCAAGATGCTGCCTCTTTGGCTACGTAAGTAGATTTTGAACACTCTTGGCTGAGTCTCAAGGCTGTTCTGTGCAAATCCCAAGCCTCACTCAAATCTCCTGCTGTATTCATCTAGGCCACAGAACTCAGTGGCTAGGCTGGCGGTCCGGGCTATACTCTGGAGGTGCTGGAGAGTCTGCGGGCGAACGTGGACATTTCTGCACACGCAATAGCATCCTGGACTACACTGGCCTTTTCCTCCAGAGGGTCTAGTTGCCTGTGTACTACATTGCTAGGCCCAAAGTGTTCTATACAGGACGCCCTTAAAGTCTCAAAAAATCTTATATGGTTACCTGGCTTTCCGGACCCCTTGAGAGGCTTTTTTTGTATCCGTCAGGGCCCGGGCCAATGTTGAACCCGTCACTCCACTGACTAGTCAAGAGCCCCTGTACAACCTCAATCATCCAAAAGGATTTGAGGGTTATTGTCCCCCTTAAGTAGATAGAATATGGCTTTGGGTATATTGTAATAAGAATCCCATATACCCCATATTCTATCTACTTAGGGGGGATCATACTTCTTTTGTGGATGAACTGCCTATGCTGTCTCGTGCGTTTAGACCGCCAAAAGGGTTCTGATAGGTGTGAGCTCAGCTGAGCGCAGTGGGTGCAGGGAGAAAGGAGGGTTGGCGCACCACACTTGATCTAAACTTCAAGTCGGTTTAGGGTTTAGGGTCTAGGGTAAGTGGGTGGTTGTCAAAATTTATGGACCCGTTTTGAACCCCCTCAAAATTTATGGACCCGTTTTGAACCCCCTATGACAATACGGCACCTAATATTTAGGGTATCCAATAAGGGACCATAATTTGACAACCACCCAAATGTCGGACACCAAAGTTCGGGGCATGCCAAATATGGTAGTTTCCTTAAACAGGGGGATCCCCAATATAGACCCTAAACATTAGAATCCTTATTATTTGGAACTCCCAAATCAGTACCCCCTGATTTTAGGAATTCCACAGATATCTTCTTCTGATCCTTTTCAAACCTATGTCAAACGAGGGAGACACACTGCTCTGTGGCTATCTTGGCCATTTCGCATTCAGCTTCCTGTGCTCACTTCCCCAAAAACATGTGGGCTGTTCCCAGAATTTGGGTCTCATTTTGGCCAAGTTTGGCACCCCTAGATTAGGTGCTGAAATATAATATATAATCAAAAGGGGCCCATATTTTTCGGAATAACTCATGTGAAGATGCATTCGACCATCCATCCGATCATTCCACGCAACAGTGTATCCTGCAATAGCAACCTGTGCTGTATGGACGAGGCGTATAGTTGTCACGAAGCGTTCAAGTCTGCGCAGAAGACAAGAAAATAGGTCAATAGGAGGCCATTTCTCACATTATGGTCCCGCTATGGCAAAAAAAAGGTAGAGTTCCCATGATATGGACATCACCACGACCAATAATTTTGAGCAATAATTTTGAGCAGCCCTAAACCCAAAGCCCTCAAAGCCCTAAACCCTAAACCCTAAACCCTAAACCCTAAGCCCTCAAAGCCCCTACAAGGCGAACGATGACACGCGGATCAGACGAGACATGAAGCGAGACATGAAACGCGACGCGTCCTCCCGACGGAACTTCAGACGAAAAAGCCGGTGACGCATGGAAAATTCAGTTATATAGGTATTTTGTAGAAGTTATAGGGTTTAGGGGTTTCTTACCCTTCTGTTATACAGGGGTTATGTAGAATTTATAGGGTTCAGGGGGTTCTTACCCAACCACTGGAGAATCATGTGGCAAAGAAAGTGGAAGATGAAATGGAAAGTGCGAGTCTGGGGGTTGCGGTGAGTTTCCAAGAGTTAGGGGGCCCTTCTAGGGTCCCCATAATAAGGATCATTGGGGTCCCTTATCTAATGGCAACTACCATATGTAGGGTCTGCTGAGTGCTTTCTACTGTGATTGGATCGGGCAATTTAAAGCTACCTCACCCGATCTCGCCCTAAATGGTGGTTTATATAGGGAGTACGTAGTACCAAAATGGCCTTGAATTGGGAATTGAAATTATTCCAACCCTAAGGGTCCACGTACCCAATAATTAGGTACTTGGGTTTTGGGTAATAGTGATTATAGTACAGGTTTTGGGTAAGAATATGATTCTTGGGTACTTGGATCCTTAGGGTAAGTTACCCTGAATTTGTGCATCTTTCAGAACATCTCATATGCGGGAGCTGGAGGCCTATCAAGCGCTTCAATGTTCCGGGATGAATGATACAAGTGAGGAGAACGCCCTACCCTGTACTAGTGATAATAGGACTGTAAGAGGCCCCGCCAACATAATCATTATTCGTTTTATAGTCACTATTACAAGGAGGGGGGGTTCACCTAAGATAGAAGATTGAAGTACTCATGCATGCATGTCAACATTGTCACCAAATAGTTGTTCCCACTAAGTTGATGGGGGGTATGTGTTGAGAAGTATTGGTACAGATGGCAAAGCAAGGCGGGCGAGCTAAGTACGGCTTCGTATCGCTTTGAAAGGCTTTTTGAGGCTTGTCAGGGCCAACAAGTGGTAGGCGTATTCTTGGAGTACTTTTGTGTTAGGGCCAGCGAAATTGGAAGCCATGAGGTTGCTGTGTTGTGCCAGTTTTGGCAGTGCCATAAGGGTCCAAGTACCCAATAACTAGGTACTTGGGTTTTGGGTAATAGTGATTATAGTACAGGCTTTGGGTAAGTATATGATTATTGGGTACTTGGACCCTTAGGGGTGGCTGTCGGAGGAATTTCAGATGTCAACATGTGTGGCATCTATGGAGGATGAGGCCAGCTGCAGAGGAATCACTGGGGCAAGGCAGAATGTTGTTGGAAGTTCCGTCTGGTGTAGAACCCTAAGGGTCCAAGGACCCAAATAATGGGGTTTTAGGGCCCAAATACCATAATATCAAAGGTATTTGGGCCCTACAACCCTATTGTTTGGGTCCTTGGACCCTTAGGGGAAGTCTTTGCATCTGCAGAAGGTTTGGGAACAGCCCAGACTTTCCACTGCATTTGCGCGCTTCGCGTACACATGTGCAGCAACAACCCCATGACCCCCCTGCTCCTCTCCAGTACGAACACATCAGGACCTGACGCTAGTGCCACGTATTTTTGGCAGTAGCTCATCTTTGAAGGGGATTTGGGACTTACATGCCCAGGAAGTAGCTTGCTTCTAGGAGAGGTTGAGAATTGAAGATTTGGGGTTTATGGTTTAAGTAAGTACTGGGTTCGGGACCGAAGTCACTCTCTTGTAACGCGAGGGGCTCTTTCTTAGCACAAGCCCCTGACGTTGCCACAGCGTCCTCTGGCGGAGGCAGTAGCCAGACTGTATAGCTTACACAAGCGAGGCTAAATAGTCCTGGCTGTTGGGTTTTGGGTTCAGGGGTGAGACCTTTACGCCGCCCAGGTATTTTAGTTGAAGATGAGGCATCCGAATAGTATACCCTAAAGGCAGCGACCCAAAATATATGGAAACGTGGGATTTTGCCAAATTGCCTGTTACGTAGCTGGCGATGCATACATTCATTTTTGCTACCGCCAACACAAGCATCACATGCGTCCCTATCTCCTGCATAGTATTGACCGATTTCATCTTGCTCGAGTTCTGCTTTTGAAGTTTCGGAGATCTGCGCCCTTCTTGCCCAACCAGCATTGTTACGCAATCTCGTGCCCTGCTGTCCAGACAATCCCTGCACTTGGCACACCTTGAAACATCCTCTAAGGTACGGCACCCGGCTTGGCTCCATCTTGCAATTGCCGATCGCTGAGAGAAGTCGTTGCAAGCAATCTTGCTTGCTGGATCTGGGCATGCCCTACTTAGGAAAAGATAGAACTAGTCATGTGGGGCATAATGAAATGTAAGAAAGGGAGGCAGGCGGACTCATTTGGGCTCATTTGGCACCATTAACTGTAATCGGTGCTAGCTGTAACGCCCAAGCTCCTGATACTGAACAAGCTCCAGGGAGATTCGTTGACAATTAAACAAACCACTGGCATTTTACCAACTACGAAATTGGAGATCTTCGCCAGCGACTGGGGCGGCAACACCTGCCTCCGGCGTGTAGAAGGATGAGCGCGCAGTCCATAAAGGATGTTATTTGTTGAACCATTTTCATATGCAATAAGTGTTGTAAGTACGCTGCATCATTATACATATGTGTTGCAGATTGTACAGCAGTGCGACGTGGTGCTGCACCAGGGTTGTGCACGTCACTCTTTTCATCTTCCTTTGGTAGGAACATGCTACTCGTACCACTTCATTAACCTGCCCTCCGCAGTGCATCCGTAGTCCACTGCGCTTAGAAACCACTTGGTGGATGACAGCTGCGCTCCACTTCTGTGCTCACTCTCGTACGAGAACCAGCTGCAGTCTTGTTGTGTTCTCCTAGGGTTCCCAGTTGCCTAAATAGTAGGCTTCTGGGCTTTGTAACAATAGGGTATATAGAACCCAGAAACCACTATTTAGCTAACTGGGAGTTCCGGGGTTCTGTGCTCTTCATTTCCGAGCTGTGCATCCTAAGCCCCGAGGCTGGTGAAGGCTAAGAGCTTGAGCTATGCTATGTTTCACAACTTAAAAAAGGAATTGTGACCATTCGATATAAACTGCAAGCTTGTCATGAGATGCCCTAACCCTAAACCCCTAAACCTCAAGCTCCCACTGGCCCACCCCCTGAACCCTAAACCTCCAATTGATAGTTTCCCTAATAGGGGGACCCCAA